CCCTCCTTAATACACACTTGCAAAAACAAAGAAATCCTGTTCCGCCTGTTGTTCTCAAAGAGACACTGGAGGTTTCGTATGCTGATGCTCAGATAACTTGCGCTAAATAGATATCAACTCACCTGTATCAGTAACATCTTTGCGGTGAACGTGTCATGGTTATATATGCAGCACAAGAGAAAAATGACTCGATATTGAATTGGGTAACAGGATAAAGACCATTCTGTTTTGTACTGTGTACATTGGAGATCCACTCTGCCAAAAGTAGACTGAGATAATAACCTTGCTGAATTGAATCTGAAAAACATGTGATCTCTCTGGATTTTGGGAGTGGGTAATGTTTGCAGCATGTTGAGAATAGTTCAAAGGATAAAATATCATGCAAGATAAAAGGGTAATGATAAAAACAACCATCATCTATGATCTGGACTCACCTTTTGGTATAGAAACTAGTTTTATTTATTCCAGTTCTTATGCAACCATAAAACCAGCCAATATATCTTTAGGTAGCTAGGCATTGCCAAACTAATCTTTGTCCAGTCAGTTAATTCTTGTAGAAAAATCACAAAGTGTTTCGGATAGAAAGTTTTCTTGACTGTCAGACTCTGGCCTTCTGTCATGAAAACTCCAACCTGCAAGATATGTTGTATCTTCATGAAACAATCTAGTGAAAGTGACTCCAGTGGCCTTTCTGTGTCACACTTGCACTATGAGGCTTCTCTGACACTGCCTATGGTAAGACTAGTCATTTCTCCTCCCCCATTCTGGTAGTTTTTTTTCACAGCACAAAGGGTGCAGACAGCTGTATTTTCCACATCTAAGAGTGCCTCTGACAGCTGTGAATGTGATGAGCTGGGCTACTTGCCAAAAGTTTCTACTATTCTTTATCCAGAATAGTAGAGTGTATGAATAGTGCAATCTTCTGATGTGTAGTATTTTGCTGAAAACCTTGGCTGCTCCTAGGTTGAATGTGAGCCTAACACCTGCATGTGAAACGAGTGAAGTGGAAAGCCACAGTCTAAGGTTGTGTTGGACCGTGTTTTACCCTTGGGTTATTTTTCATCGTCTGGTATTGGAAATTGGTTAGATTTAGTTTTATTAAATGCATTGATTGACTGTTTGCTCTGACAGTTGATAGAGTAGTGAGATTAGACTGATTTTGAAAGGTTTTGATTTGAAAGAGGAGGGTTGTTGGTAGATTAATACTGACAGGTAGTTGGAGAAAGTGGGTGGAGCCAGTAAGGGGATAGTTTGACAGATGTCCCTTTAACAGTAGTGGAAAAGAAAGTAGAAAATATCCTAATACAAATGGAAAGATTCAAACATGCAGGTAGAAGAGAAAAGAGCAAGATGGTCCAGAGGAAAAAGGGTGGCCTTGAAAATTGAAAGAAGAGTTCAGTCACAGGTGTCAAAAAATCTTACATCAAAATTAGTCTGAACATGGGCTCCTATAAGTTTTTACTGACAAGGTTGCCTTTCTAAAGAGTCTTTAGCTTTTTTTTTTTTTTTTTTTTCTAAAAATTAAGCCCAAAGATCAAATTTTTCTGGTACCTTGGCAGGTTAAGTCATGCATTAAAACTTGAGGCTACTGACAGAGTCAACACAACATTGTTTCATTGATAGAGCACCTATAACATGGTGTGTGTGAGCTAGATTGATTGACCAAAAAATGCTTCATTATTTTTTACCTGAAGTTTTATTTGACATCAGTTTGCATGTGTTACATACATGTGGATAGTACCTTAAATATCTTCATGATAGTAACTTTTACCCTGTAAAAAAAATTAACTTGTTACTGTTTTTAAATGTAGTCAAGTATTAACTGGATGATTTTTTCCATTTGTTGTTGAAAAGGGTCAACAAATTATGTAGTTTGCCACAGATTTATTTTCTCCATGGTAACGTAATTATTACTATGTGGCTACAGCTAACATTTAGAAGCCTGGTAGGATTTCTGTTAAGATTTAACCACCAGCAGGTTGATCTTACAAAGTGGAATATCTCAGTTTAGACATACTAGTTTAACCTTAAAAGTGTGTGTGTGGGTGTTTGACTGGGTGGGTGGTTGAAACGGAACCTGGGGAGAGTTTTCACAAAAGAACTGAAGTTGACAGTTAACCTTCATTTAAAGACAAAGTTTTTTCAGATAATTTGACCTAGTAGTTATTCACCAAAAACAGAATTGTAGAGCAAATGACAGATCCATAGCTAGCAATTATAGAAGGGGGGTTCTTTTTCTGAAAAAGTGGACCTTTTACCATGAAACCTTTTTGTACCTAGATAAAATGTTACCCACAGGGGACCTTTTCTCGGCAAAAAAAGGTAGGGGGTCGAAAGACCCCCCAAACCCACCTAGTTATGGGCCAGAATGATTAGTCTTCTATAGTTGACTTCTATCCTTTCATCCTGTATGGAGATAGACCAGAGAATTGTCATAAAGTGAAGACCAGCTTTCAACTTATCTTCTTTTCTGAAACTGGATCTGGAACCAGAGTGAGTGGTGAGAAGGTATCCCTGCTGGCAATAGGAAATATTTTTTCATAAAGGTATGGAAAAAGAGAAACCCCAAAATCTAAGGAGGGCCCCTGAACCTGTATATTGACTAGAGTTATTTTCCTTTTATGCAGTTCTGTGATAAGAAATTACGAAATGAAGAAATTGTCTGTGTGCATTCATGTGTCTTTATTAGCCTATATCTCATATATCAAAAAGGAAGACAAGCAGACTGTTTGCCCGAATTTTATGAAACTGGAACCTGTGTTGTCAGTTTCATAATGTAAATGCTGAAGTTATTCATTGGTTCAGATCTAGAATTGAAGGGTAAGAGATTATCCCTGGTAATTTTCAGAAATATTTTTCTCTGTAATACTTTAAGTATGCGCCAAAATTAAACCCCCAAAAATCTAAGGAGACTCCCTGAACCTGTATCTTGACTCCAATTGTTTTTCTTCATTTGCAATTTTGTGAGAAGGAACAATGAAATGATGAATTTCTCTATCTGGATGCATTTATGTGTCTTTATTAACCTCTTTCTCATGTATCAAAAAGGAAGACAACCAGACTGTTTGCCCAATTTTCTTGAAACTGAAACCTGTATTGTCAGTTTAATGTTAAATGTTATGGTTATTCATTGGTTCAGAAATTGGAATAATTTCAAGAATAGATTTCAACCTATGGATATTGCTGTGCATTAATTTATACTTAGTTTTAGGGAAGTCCAAATGAAATTTCACCATATCAAAAGCATGTAAACTGGATATGTCATGTAAAGTGATAAAAAAATTAGTGCACTGATTAAATAGGATGATCGCAAATTAATGTTAATAATATAAAAATGGCAAAATTTCTTGTATTCATAAAAATTAAAGATAATCATGCAAATCTTTGTATTGCTTTCAGTAGTGTTTTCATCACCTAAAACATTTGTTTTCATTTCATAAAACAAACACATACCTGTCCTGTTCTTATTATTTAAAACATTGCCAGCCAGCATAAAACAAGTGGTTCTAGATGTACATAATCCTTGAGCATATTCTTGCCCTGCTCTATCACAAAACACACGGCTAATATTTAATATATGTCATGGGGGTCATTAGATTGTGCCCCACCACCCCAGGGGCTTCACCCTAGACTCTGCCCCATCCATAGAGGTCCAGTTAGCTGCACCTGTACAAATACTGTCCTGTGGCTTAATATTGGAACTTTGTGTTAAAACATTAATAGTACTTTGACCAGACACTCAGGCAGGGTATATCTATAGGCCTATAGACATAACTGGCAGCCATCACTTGATACTCTATTATACAACATGCTTGACACATTTATAGTAATCATTAGTATAATTTGTGGTATTAATTCCTAGAATGACACTATTGAATATGGTCAGTGTGATGTTATTTTCAGTACCATGCTTAGTTCATCTGCGCTGAAGATATTAGAAAAAGGCTAGGTACATGTAGCAGGAAATGCTTCTTTTTTACTAGATTTTTTAAATTTATAGTGCTATGTTTTTTCCTTTACCTTATCATCCACAATCATTGGTGTTATTTTTCTGGACTATTTTTGCTTGACATTTTTATTGAGAAAAAAATTCTCACAACCTAAAGGCCTCCATTTTCGTTATAACAAGCTTAAAACCATTTCCCAGACAAAGCCATGAAGCTGTACATAGTGGGCGTATGAAGTGGTTCAGATCCTGTTCATGTTATTAATTTAATTACATTGATTCAGTTTACCTTTATTTTCCTCCCTTTTTCTGCTCTGACACAGTTGCTACATTTTTTTTAATTCAGTTATTTCAACAGAGGATTGATATCTTTGTCTTTAGCTATTACTTTAATTACTGAAATCTCCCAGTCTTAATTGACTAATTCCACCTTTGTCCAAGGATACTTGCTATTTAGGAAAGGAAAAATACTTATATTTTTTTAAATCAAATGACCAGTAATGGTCATTTTGATGATACTTATGACATGTTAGATTAAAAGAAGCAACATATTCCCATGCTCAGAAAAATTCAGTAGTAGATTGCAGACTTGCTTATTTATAACTCAGCCTTGGTTTTTTTATCTTTATTTTAATGATTTAAATTATTTTCTATTTGGCATTCATTGTTTACCTTTGCTAAGGCTGTTACTTGCTTTGTTGTTGATTTTTTTCTTCATGCTTGCTTCTGTCTGATTGCAATTTCATTTATCATATATCTTCATCTTCTTATAGAAATAAACTGGTAGCACATTCAGTTCTCTTCATGTTTTTCACATATTTTTTCCACTTTTCTTCTCTCTCCAGTGGAGGTGCCTCATTAGTATCAAACCATAAAGGATGTGACGGAGACAAATACCTAGCAATGTGTTGCTTAGCAATTATGACATGTTAATGTAAAGCTCCCTGACCACATATAACTAGCCATTCCTTACTTTACCTCGGCTCATTACGTCTGTTTTCTAGAAAAATCAAAACTGGGTAATAACATATTCTGATAAATATGAGGTACTAACCATTTTGCATGTGTTCTTCTTTCTGAATTGAAACCAGGATTGCAATACTTGGAATCTATGATTCATCCCAAACTGATGGTATGACCTGGTCTTGTTGGATAGGAGAAAACCAGATTTTCTTAATGTATTGTCAGTAATTATGCTTGGTTTACTCAACCTTAAATTCTGTTATTTGTAGCTGGCTTCCAGTAGAAGGCCTGGTATTCAAAGCCAAAAGAAACACTCCTGTTTTTGCACACTGTTTACCCAACATATCAGATTTATACCTTTACATGTATTGTTCTGCTAAGCATCTCCTGTACATTTTTTTGCTTTCTTTACTCATTTTGATCCTGCACATATTTGTATGCATTTAAAATGTGCAGGGAGGCGTAAATGAGTCCTTTTTTTCTTCACATTTTCAGAGTTACCATCGTGTAGTGTTCTGTTAAACACCCTTTTAGTACTGTTCTAAAACAGGCCTCTTCAAAGAGGGGAAAAACTGGTCTTTATTTGAACAACTTGAACAAAGAAGACTTATTATTTGATAAGAGTACATCACCACCTAACTTTGCAGTCTGTTGTACATTATACACAGAAACGAGATGCAAGTACTAACTTATAGGAATAATCTGATGGCTTATATGAGGCTTATTGCTCTGCCAGACATCATAAAAGAGTAGAAATGTGCAAGAATCCGTGAAAGGTGGGGAAAAGCATCATTTAAGTAACTCCTAAAACATGTTGAAATTGTACTGTTGTGCAATAGACTTGTTCAACAGAATTTTAGAGGAAACAACTAGAAAAAATGTGTGGGCAAGTTTTATCAGTTTTTTATTATTATTATTGCAGCACCACACTCCCAGGTCTGCTCCAATTCTGCTGAGAGTCCCTTGATTTTATCAAAACTCCAAGAATTTGGACCACTTAAGATGATCCTGTTAAGAAACAAAATTCTTACAGAATTCAAAGAAGGTGCAGAGAGAAATGAAATGTCTTCCCTCTGCTATGGAACAGTGTGATTTTTATCTGTTCATATAAGAAATTTAAAAGTATGATTCATTTGTATTTTTGTGGATAGCACACCTTTTCAGGTCACTAATTTCAGGTTTTCTGCTGTGTTATATCTGTGTGATAATTTACACTGTGCAGATAATTTCCTTTCGGGGTTACCTGATGCTTTTTCAAATGTTATTATCTCCGTTCAATTTCCTACTTAATTATATGTGCTTTCACTTGAAAAATTGAACAAATCGTGGACTTTAACTTGTCAATATTTAGATATTTAGATAGATCTTCACCCAATTACACTCAACCATTCACACAAATATGCTCTTGACTTTTTCATTATCATCCATGTATGTTTTTAAATACTCCCATTGACTAAAGTTGGAGATGTATAGTACTAGATTTAGTAACTTGCATGTTTGTACATATGATGGCAGTGATAATGTGAAAGCCATCCTTCTCACTTCTCTCCTTGTCATTTACACAACCATGATTTTATCATGATGGGTTTGTAACAGCATCTTCTGGTTTTGTTTCATGTGAATGTTCAGTGTAATTCAATATGTAATGAAGTCCATGATAAATTTTAACTGGTTTGATAAACCAGTTGCAAATTACTTTCTAAATAAATTCGTAAAGCCAAGCAAGGACGTATAAGATAAACATCCTTGAGCCAAGTAAATTGGTTTCTAGATATTGTATGTAGTACTGTTTTTGTTGTTTTTGTTTTATTTCACAGATTGACAATCATTCACTGCTCAACCAACAGATTGACCTTTGGATATTCAACCTGATGATGCTCTTGATATGAGTGAAATGTAGCTTTTTTCATGAAAATTTGTTCCAAAGTTAATCAGTGATTCTCATCACCAAACACTGTACTTATAACAAGTAAGAAATGTTGTTTTTGAACCATTGCCTACAGTTCACTTTCCTCTTTCCAGTGGTGGGAACAATGCCCCTCTGTTAACTGGGGATGACTGGTCAGGATGGGAGGATGAGTGGGGAGAGGGAGGTGCCAATCACAGCCAGGATGACCAGAGACTGACCTCCAGTCAAGATGACGGCTGGGGATCCTGGAATGACGAGGACAGTAAGAACACTGCCTCTAGGGAGGACGGCTGGCAAACGGAAGACTGGGGGGCACCCATTGACACAAAACCCAAGTCGTCTCCAAGTAAGACGAAAGGCAAGGCTAAAAACAAGGAGTCCAAGAGTAAAAAGACAAGAGAACCTGCAACTGCTAATTTGATTGACTTTGGAGATGCCACAGCCACTAATGGCAGCAGTGATGCTAACCCTAATATGGGGTGGGATAATGAAGTGTGGGCTAATGATGATGACGCTTGGGAAGCACTGGAAGTGGACACAAGTAGTAAAAGCAAGCTGAAAAAGGGAGATTGATGATAAAAAAAAACACTGGTGCATTCATCTAGCATGTAATTTATGATTAGACTTAAGGAACTTGTAATTATTATGTAAGTTCCAGGCCAAAAAAGGGCTGTAACTAGCTAATGAACTGGTTAAACATGTGCCTGGAAAATTGAAAAAAAAAAATGGCTGCTTCATTGTGTAACCTCATGCTTTTGCAGAAGAAAACTATATGTATAGATCAATTTTTCACAGATAAAATGCATGCAATTGCCATATTTAGGTATTACAATTCCCAATCAAAATATTTTAACTATCTTGAACTTAAGCTTGTAATATTTTAACTATCTTGAACTTAAGCTTGTAAGCTCCCAGTTTAATTTACAACATTGCATAAAAGCTGGTTTGATTCCAGTGTGGTTCATGTTGATCCTCAAAATTCTCCTTTTACAACCCACGCAAATAAGAGAGTATTTAAAATTAGCAGAATTTACAGATAGCCCCATTAAATATGTTTTAACAAGTTCCATGAGCAACTGCATGTGGCTTGTGGTTACCCTAATTTTATATATTACTGTACTTTTCATCATTATTCTTATTAATAAGCCAAACAAAAAAAAAAAAAAATCAAAATTAGAATGTAATGGGCATTTTTGGCTTTATTTTCACTTGTGAAGAAAATGCTGATTAAATATATCCTGCATTTAGTCATGGGCTCAAAATACAAATTGAAGGGCTGTTCCGTGTAATAGTCTAGGTATAGTTATCTTATTAGTCAACATGTACTGGCACACTAGTGTTGTAATATTGTCACAGTAAATACAGTATTAACTAATTGAAAAAAATTTAGTCTTGGGTAAAAATCAGTGAAGTACATGTATATTATTTGATGTTCTCAAACTTATATGATTGTATATGTTATGATATAACTGAAGGGTCTCAAGTTTACTTATAATATACAAGTCCATCTTTTCAAGCCCATGTCATTCCAAATGAAATATGTACAGAGTATATCTAAGAACTATTTTGGTGACAATTTTTAAAGTATATAATAAAGTTACGACATATAAGACTGTAAATATTACAATTTCAGGTGCAAGGTTTGGCTTCATAAAACTGGGAAAAGTGTTACATGATAGCACTTATATTGGTAAAAATAAAAATTGACCAATATATTTGAAACAGGGTGTATTTTGCAGTTTCTGTTGTTACTATATAAAACCAGAACATAAATTAGAGGATTACGCCAATGGAGAAAACCTTACCAACTTAAGGACCCTGTAAATCGTGTAACTAGGGGTGCTATTCCATTACAATAGATTGAATTCATTTCAGTTTCTACTTGCAGATGTGGCATTAAAATAAGGACCATCTTGAAAAGCTGTCACAATTTCATAAAACACCAAACAGAATAAATATTTAACATAAAAATGAGTGTTGCTATAGATTTGATGTATTGCAATTCAAGGGCTTTGAATTGGCTTTGAGTCCATCAAGTTGCCAATAAATGTCGGCCATGTTGAATTATTTAAATGTGGTACTACCTGTAGATCACAATAAGTTTTATTTGGCTATGTGATTTTTCAAAGCTCGTCAGTAAAATTTAATCAAAAATCATTTTGCACCATTGGTGACATGGTTCATTGGTATTTATTCAGTATTTGATGGACACTACCACTATACCAAAGAACGGTTGAACGTGGCAGTCTTTACATGCAGCTTATGTATCACCAGCTGCCATGTCGTGGTAACCATACACTTGTTACCAGGACAACAAAAAGACACTTGTTTTTGTTTGTTTTTTTTCTGGATTTTCTCACATGGCTAAAGTGGCTTTTATTCAAAGATGGGTACGATTGCTGGTTAAGTATCAATGTAAACTAGAAAAGTACAGACCTCTGACAAGGTACTGCAATTCTTGTTTTAATTAACTAATTATTAATTAATGGAGCACCACCAAAATCTAATCATTTGTTTATTTGCCAACTCCTTGTCAGTAGCTAACATACAGACAAATAATTTATGAATTGTTGGATCACCATTAATATGTTTGTCATTTTGTCTTCCCTTGTTGTTTTCTGAAAATTTATCAAAATCTTATCAATTTTTCCATTATGTTGGTAACAGACAAACAGAACCTCCCATCCAAAAAAAAAAACTTTGGCAGCGGTTTAAACTCAGAACTCTGTATATTAGTGTCACTGGTCTTTTGGACCTGCCAAGACACTTTTGCTGGCTGGCATACCTTACAAAA